TGAGCCTTTTTAGACGTTTTTTTTCCAGACTTTAAAAGCGGTTTTGTGACATTCAGGAAAGACAAGCGTGAGATGAGGTGACACAGTGGAAAGATGGTCTAGCGACACACACCGTGTGGACCTGTCTGACTCATTTGACCCTGAGGCCGCCCGCTGAACTTTGACTCTAAGGCGTCATTACGTGCGGAACTTTACGAGAGCACTGCGGCTTTTCAAACAGCCAGCTCACATCCACTTCCACTTTTGGCAACAGAATTACAAATATTTCTACACGAGATGAGCTCTGACAATAGCCTTTGTAAGTGTGTGTATATATGAATGGATGAGTTTCTGTTTGATTCTCTGGGCCTCGGTGCCAAAACTGTATGTTTCTAAATGAGCATATGTGGACGGCGAGGTTGCGATTGCCACTCGGCACACGTACGGTGCGTGTGTCTGTGTCTGAGTGCGTGTGTCCTTTGGATCGTGATGTGTGGAACAACAGCGTATTGTGTCTTCCTCTCTCATATTTCTCATCATCAGCACTGCCGGTGTCTAAATTCCACTGGTGTGTTCACAGCGTGACGGAGGGACTCAGCCCTGTTGTCAACCCCCATCCTGCAAAAATAGGAAACACAGCATCACTTTTCCACTTTCTCCCTCACTTTTCACCACTAATTCAAAATATATGTCTTCCTGTTTGGAGCTCTCACACTCTGAACTTGGTTGTTTGTATTGGAGAAAGGGTGCAGTTTTGCACATACTCTGTGCTGCTTTTTAAGCACAGAGTGTGAGCAGCCATTGGGGAAACACCTCGATTACTCTGACACATTAACTGTAGATGTTTATGCCTTTCGCCCCGGTATTTGTCAATATGATTTACTCATTATGTGATATAACTGCATCAGACACCTGTGATAATGACCTACAGTATTAGTCAGAACTGAATCAGTCTTACACACAGCTTTTCCATTTTCACAAGGCTTATTTCGCCTTCTTGCTAAGCATTGTAAGATTTTGGGTGTTGAACTGGCCTTCCAGCAGTCCAGACCTTTCACCAACTGAAGACATGACAGAGAAGAGCTGGGACTATGTGAAAGGGTGAAGTGCTGCAGTAAAGTTGCAATGGTCCTATCTTTTATACAGTCTATGGTTCACTCAATTAAGATGTGATTATTTTCAAGGTCCATTTAGTTTTAGTTAGCTGAAGCTAAACCAGAAGTTAAAACGAGATGGTGAAAAACATTTTTAGTTAATGTTACGACTGTTGTTGTAATGTTGTCTCATATGTAAATCTGAGTGTGCAGGTGCCTTTCTGTGATTGGTGGATCCATGGGACGGACCATACAGATTGGCTCATGACCTGGAGACAACATATAAGATGACACCGCCATGGACCTCAACCGGCAGGCTTTGTGTTACCTGTTTCTTTATACAGGAGCATGTAGGGGTGGACTGCCTTTTTATTTGATTACCCTTTTCTCATGTTTTTCTTAGTTAGGGAGATAAGACATTGTCATTTGGTTGATTCTTTTCATAGGTAAGTTTTGTACATCCTTTAGATACGGTCCCTTTTGTTTGTTGTTTTGGGGTCCACCCCGAAGCTATAGTTCGCTCCTTTCCTTTGTTAGAATTCAATCACTGTAAATAAATCCCCATCAAAATTGTACTGGTTGTGTGATGTGCTGCTTGGGGTCAGACAGGGGTGGATCACCCTTATATTATGGTATGGCCTCCCCTAGACAGGCCATAACACTAACTAAAATGAAAATTAAAATAGATTTAAAACTGGCTGGCTGGTGTCCTTACTGGTGACCTTGGGTCTGAACTGTGGGCTCCTCTTTCCAGGTGTTCGTACTGCCTGAGTGGGACCAAGATGTGCCGTCTTGCCTCTTTTGGGTTTTCTGCATGTTTCTGGCTCAGCATGCAAGTATCCACTTCTTGACGTTCGCTGTTTGTTGCAGACACTTGAAGTTTCTGGGCTCATTTGGGTTCTCAACACTGGGTGACTTTGATGGGAGTGAAAGCATCCTCACAACATAAATCACCACACTACCTGCTTTTGTTTCAGATTTTTTCTTTATCCTTGTTAACATGTTTGGGTACTGGGTTTACCTGTAATGCATTTTGTGTTCCAAAAGCTGTTATTTAGTGCAGCTGTGCTCCAAAAGCTGTTAGCATGACCTGTTTTATCATTAGATTGTGCCACACCAGCACCTGAGAGAAAAGCTTTGAGTTTGATTTTGTGTTTGTGTTTTGCAGGCACTCAGGAGAATAAGTCATGATGTTTCTTGTGTTTGTCACGTTAGTATCTCAGTGCTTGTCAATCACCAGTCAACAGTGTCACCACTGTGAACAACATCCTGCGACTGTTTGAGCCAAAACCTTCAAGAAGTCCCTGCAGCCGCTTCAAAACTCATCACTGAGCTCAGTCTCTCTTTTAACACGTCGGAGACAATAATGAAAGATGACTTTCTTTCATATGCTGCTTTGAGGGCTTTGTTCGGGAACAACAACAGAATCAAAACCATCCATGAAGAGACATTTCACCCGCTGATTAATTTGGAGAAACTGGACTTCCACAAACCAGTTGGAGACTTTGTCTTCTGGATGGTTTCAGAACCTGATTTCTCTCCACTATTTCAATCTTTTGGGACACAAATATACAACACTTTTCCTGCCACAGAGGAGATTGAAGACCCTCCATTTTTGAGGAGCTTTCTTTCAGTCTGTCAGTGAAAGGGATTTTTTTTTAACCTTGAAACTGCCGTGACCATGTCCAAAGACCAGCTGGCCGGGTCAGTCATGGATATTCACAAATACCCCATAGTACTGGTGGAAAAGAAATATCGGGGGAAAATGCATAGAGTAACGGCTGCGGTTAGCTGATGGCCATCATACCCCTTAAATCTGAAAACTGATTGGTCGGGGTTTAGTAGCTTAATAGGGCAGTATGTAGGCCTGCACACACCACCAATAGGGACACGTGGCGTTTGGGTTGCCCGTTCCAGCAATTCGCTACACAGAAGATAATGGCATTATGCAACTGGCCCTTTGATCAAATGATGAGAGCTGATAGTCAAATAGTGCGCGCTGACATATCACTGACATTTCCACATGTTGTAACGAGTAGGGACAGACCATGTTCAGTGTTTGTTATGTAGAGATCTGTATTTTATTTTATTTTTTTAATCTTTGCAAGAGTGATTTTGTGTTTTTTTTGGTGGCAACTCATTCCGTTGGCAGATACGGGTGCGGTACCTTTTAAACACAGTTTGGCGCGTTAGCAATGAGCGATACAGCAGCTGTATTGATCACGTGACTTTTTCTTAAAGCAGCGCACAGACCGATACAGGCTTCGCTCTGTGAACTTGATACAAGTGTCGGTGCGTCAGTGTTGCTGGACCCATCACTAGCACTGACATTTCCACATGTTGTAACGAGTAGGGACAGACCATGTTCAGTGTGTCGTGACACTTGCACAATGGAAGAACACACCCACTTGTTGGTGCCAGAAGAGCCACTGAGAAATTATTGTTTTAGCTGGCTCATTACAAGTCGATGGCTGGTCACCTGGAATAAGATAAAACTCTGGAGCGAATAATTGCCCGATTTTACTGGCAAGGAAACTGTTTTAGACTTAGAGCTTTTTATTGTCATTGTGCAGTTTTTGCACAGCAAAATTGGGTAAGTGGAGAGCATAGAGCCGCTGTATCTGTGCGCACCACCATCTTGCATTTTTTGCATGTTTGGATGTGCGCCGATGGTGTGCGTCCAGTGGTGTCAGCTGGTGAACCAGCTGGTCATTCAAAAAGCACCTTTATGCCCCTCACCATTAATGGAGGTCCCATTTGAGCGCATTGGCATGGACTTCATTTTATCAATGAGAAAAAGAAAGTCTTTAGTTCAGCTGTTGTTAACTGATCTTGACTTTGTTAATTAAACGTTGCAAACCTGCCTTCAGTGTGTCCTGTACATGAGGTCATTTAGTACACCACAGCACGGTGAGTTTTTTGAGCTGATGAAGTTCTGCCAAAACTGCAAACATGCAGCAGGAGACAGTAACTTGTTAAAATGTTATAAAAGGTACAATTAAAGATTTTCACCCTACAGGGTTGTCAATGATCCAAGGATAAATGTCTAATTTGGTCAAAATTTTATAAGCCATTTCTGGAGAGACTGCAGTGGAAATGTTGTCACTTTTGGACTTTTCTACCTGCAGCTAAACATTTGCAGCTAAATCATTTATTTAAAAGCAGAAGCTGCAACTGATCGAGGGAATGTTTGTCTGAAAACTTCAACTGAACTCCAAAGGTACCATTGCTCCAGCTTACCATCTTTACCTGAGTGAATCAGTTTGTTGAACAATCTAAATGATTCAGAAACTTCTGTGACATTAACTTAACTAAGGCTCATTACAAATTTCACATACACTGCTGAATACTTTTAATATTTTTTTATTAGTTATTTTTGTTTTTGTTGTTATTTTGATTTTAATAAAACAAAATAACATAAAGAATTAAATAATTTCTTTATTTTTTTAATTTAATTTATTTTACAAATAAATTAATAATAAAATAAATTAATAAATTAATGATAATATTAATAATAATAACAATAAAATTAGTGCTGTCAGCGTTAACGTCATTAGTTAAAATGACGTTAATATTATTATTAATTTATTTTATTTTATTAATTTATTTATTTGTTGTTCCCAGAGAGCAAGCCAAACACTGGTCCAGACAAGGACGATCTCTAGTAGTGGTGCACTACTAGTAGATTTTGTTTTAACCTCCTAGGACCTGGTGTCCACATATGTGGACATAACATTTTGGGTTGTCTAGACCAAAATACAAAATTTTGCTCTTCAAAAACCTGATATCCACTTATGAGGGAGGACATTACACTGCCACTGTTCAATCGAAATTTAAAATGAACGTCCTCATATGTGGATCTCATTCTTTTGAGAAACAAAAAAGAAGATAGTCCGAATCTGATGTCTTTGTTTTTACTTTCATCAGGTCCCAATCAACCCAAATGGCACAGAGAAATTAAAAATGCATGCCACGAAAGAGTTCAGGTCTTAGGAGGTTAAAAACGTCCCTGCTGATGAGACCAGTGAATGTGGGGCGACGGTGGCAAGAAAAAACTCCCTCCTGGAGGAAGAAATCTTGGGAGGAACCAGGCTCTCTGGGAGGACCCTTCCTCCTGAAGGCAATACTTACTTGTCCTCGAGTGTGCGATGGTGGGCTGGGACAACTGTTGTTCCTTCTCAGCATGATGATGACCTTAACTTCCTTCCTTCCATTTCCTGTTTCAGAACTGAGAATAAAGACAAAACTGGTTAACAAGGTAACAGGACATTTAAAAATTCTCTCACTTCAGGATGAGATGCTGTGTCTTCTTACGTTTCTCTTGTAAAACAGGATGTAGGCCGAGTGCTGCTGTTCCTCACAAGCTGCAGATCCAGTTGTGTGGAGCACCTGTGCGTCATTATAGGTGAGCCAGCGATCTGATGTAGAGTGCTGACTCTCCTCAGGATGGACAGAATTACAGATGTAGTGTCCTGAAATCACATTAAGACAAATGAATCCGACTTCTGGAAGTCAACTGATTCAAGCAAACAGTGATTTTGACTTAGTGCTTCTTAGAACATCAAAAGCTTTTGTGTGTGAGTCCTTCACTGAAAAGTAGCAAGTTTTCATTTTCTGTTTGTAACAAGTCTGTTGTTTTACCTGACTCTGTGCCTCCATAATGGCTAATGATGCTGACAAGACTGTAACAGCCACCACCCTGAGAAGGAACAAATCCAAAGAGTATTAGTTTCATAAAGTCTCACATCAGTGCCATAATGAAGCTGATTTGCTGAGGCGACATCCACACTAATGCGTTTTCGTTTGAAAACACATCGTTTTCTCTCCGCTTTGACCTCCCGTCCACACTGAGACGACGTTTTCCTCAAGGAAAAACACAGCATCTTGAAAACGCTCTCGAAAACGCATACATTTCAAACCGGAGCTGTCCCGTCGCAGTGTGGACACTCGAAAACGCAGACTTTCGAATACGATGACGCATTTTAGTCATGTGATGCAGTCATGTGAGCAATTAAACAAAGATAGCGGAGTGCATTATACAGCAGTTTTTTGATTGCTCTCAACTTTGACAGCCCTAAAAAAGATTAATATCAGTTTGTACATGCTCCGGATAGCTTTTCTTCAAATTTTTTAATTCTCACTTTTGCGCATGCGCAGGACTGGAACGTAAGCGTTTTCAGCCGTTTCACTGCAGACGCACAACTATTTGAAAATGACTGAAAACGCTAGTGTGGACGTGGAGTTTTCAAATCTATCAGAGCTAGTGTGGACGTAGCCTGAGACGTTCTGCAGTCTGTTTTTACCTGATTGGATGGCACCACCAAGTCCCTCTGCAGCCTGACGGGGTCATCCACCTTCTGAATCTTGTAGGTTTGTGTAAAGCCAAACCTCTTCAGATGCAAGATGAGAACTCTGGTAGAAAAGAAAAAAAAAAAACACAAACAAGTTAGAAAATAAGAAGAATGAGTGTCAAACACAAACAGAAGATGGGAGAAAACGACTGCTCAAGTATTGTCTTGAAAAACTCTGATATTTGATGCGCCGCAGTTTGGAAACCTGGTCAGTCGATCAATTCTGATGTGACCTTACTCACCTTGGCAGTGTATCAAAAGACGACTTCAGTTCTGAGGTCGTCCCTCCACAATCACAGCGAAATTCTATTTTTTGTTCCTGAACAACAGCACAGAGAAAAAAGGCTTTATGGTAGAAAGAAATCTCAACATATGCACACACACATACACACAAACACTAACAAAAAAGGTGTGTTAAGATCGCTGATACTACAACTCTACTGGAATTTGTGATCTTACCTTCAAGTATGTCTCTAACATATTTATAACAGAGCCCTCTGGAACCAGGTCAAGAGACAAGCTGGTGAATTCCTCTTGCTGTGATGATTGGTGACCGCAGCTACAAATTTCAGGAGTAACATAGTTAAAGTAAAGATCAGGTAGGTGGAAAAGAGGTATATGAAAATATTGCAACCCGCTCTGCGTTTCTGAAAGACAGGCTTACCTCTTGCATGTCCTCGTGTTTTCCATTTTAAAAATGTGATGGTCTTCTACTGGGCAGGTATAACTTTGGCCCAGGAGAGCTGCGTTCCTCTCCAGGTGAGGTGTGAGCCTTTTGACCTCATTGAGGAACAATGTTAGGAATTCATGAGCATCCTGAAAGAAAAGCAGAGAGATTTAAAACAGTACATCAAAATCAGAAGGTAAAGCAAAAAACGAAATGTCCAAATAGCTGACGCACTTTCTGTGCACTGCCGGTGTATTCAGGAGCTTGATTGCTGAATGCCTTCTTAAAAGATCTTAGGTGGTGATCTTTAAGGCCATAATCTGTTGACTGATGACAGTCCCTGACATCAATGAGCCTTCTGTAGAAAGGAAAGGGTAAACAGACATTTCTGCTGTTAGATCTCTTTGTTCTTCAGGTTTTTGAAGAAAGTAGAAGGTTGACGTAGCGCACCTTAAGAGCTGAGCTTCTGGGTCTGCGCTCCACAAAACCTCCTGACGCCTGATGTCTCTAATGAACTCCTCAATGTTGAGGAGGCTCTGCAGGCAGGAGTTCATGTAGCAGGTGTTTCCGATGTTTGGAAACCTGACACACACGCACAACGTTTACAGTATCAGTGTAAAATAATTCATTTTCTCCACTTTGACAAAGTAAGCTTTGGTCTTTGTGCACCACGTGTACTCACCCGAAGCAGTCTGTAGTCTCAGTTTGAGTTTCTATTGTTTTTCCACCGCATGCTACACTGCTCCAAAAAGGTAAAAACACAAACACAAAATTAGGAAAGATGTCAAGATGCTGAGCAGTGTATGTGCATGAGCTTTGAAGTTTAAACATTTTGGAGGACGTCTTTCTCTTACCTGTTAAACACTTGCTCCCATCCACTCTCTTGGTCCAGAAGCTCCATAATCAAAGTGTCCCAACTCAGGTCTGCTGGGATCTTTTCCGTGGTGCTTTTTACCTGATATATATATATAGGACATAGCTGTGTGCCTCATTGCTCTTAATTGCTCTCATTTAACTGTGATGAGTAAATGCTTGATGACAGTGACTCTTTCCATAAAACATACCTTCCCGGATTTAAAAGGAGACCAGCAAGACCTTTTTTGTGTCTTTACAGTGTTGGTCTCTGCATCGCTGTCAGTTTGCTGCAGAGGACGAACAAACATAACGTTATTAAAAAAGTAAAGTCACTTAAAGTTAACAAGTACAATTTAAAGAGAATGTGCATTTCATATGTTTTATGTAAAAGCAAACCGAGGAACAGCAGAAGAAGTGTTTCCATTTTCTCTTCTTCTTTTGACCATTTTCAGGCTTAGGTGGTGTGGCAGCAACACAAGCATCCGGGATGCTGATGAGGACAAAAGTGTAAATGTTGTGGAAATTTATAAGAAGGAGTACATTTTGCTAATACAGATTGCTAATAAAAATGAATAATTGTAATGGAACAAAATCATGTATTTTATACATTTACACTCTACATTTTCAAACGCTCATCCCTGCATCCATATAAATAATAGACAAGACTAGAAGTAGTAAAAAAGATATAAATACACGAGGTGGAAGAAAAACACCAATAAAAGGGAAATAAAACAGCTCCAACTAAACCACTGCTATAAATATCTCCAGCAGCATTAAA